GAGAGCACTGGTAGTAACCGGAGAGCCCAGTGACTGCTAGAGAGCACTGGTAGTAACCGGAGAGCCCAGTGACTGCTAGAGAGCACTGGTAGTAACCAGAGAGCCCAGTGACTGCTAGAGAGCACTGGTAGTAACCGGAGAGCCCAGTGACTGCTAGAGAGCACTGGTAGTAACCGGAGAGCCCAGTGACTGCTAGAGAGCACTGGTAGTAACCAGAGAGACCAGTGACTGCTAGAGAGCACTGGTAGTAACCAGAGAGCCCAGTGACTGCTAGAGAGCACTGGTAGTAACCAGAGAGCCCAGTGACTGCTAGAGAGCACTGGTAGTAACCGGAGAGCCCAGTGACTGCTAGAGAGCACTGGTAGTAACAGGAGAGCCCAGTGACTGCTAGAGAGCACTGGTAGTAACCAGAGAGACCAGTGACTGCTAGAGAGCACTGGTAGTAACCAGAGAGCCCAGTGACTGCTAGAGAGCACTGGTATTAACCGGAGAGACCAGTGACTGCTAGAGAGCACTGGTAGTAACCGGAGAGACCAGTGACTGCTAGAGAGCACTGCTCTCCTTGTTTCCATGGTCTGTGAGAGCGTACTAATCCAGCAAGACATGTGGATTTTTAAACATTATCGGGGTGAACCAAAGTTCAGCATTAAAACAGAATAAATCAATTTCTAGGCCTGGGAGAGATTAAAGAAGGATTGGGCCCACAAAGCAGCGTCCATGCACGGGACTGACAGGGACAGCAGCATGGATCAGACCTGGTGGAAATACTGTTTGAAATCCTTCAAATACTTTGAGCGTTTGCTCTAGCCTGCCTGGAATGCCAGATGGGCGGGGTTTGCGGTTTTGGGACTATTCTATAGGTCCAATAAGCCAGGCAAGCTCAAACAAGCACAGAAAAATAATTGGAAGTGATTTCAAACTATGGATTTCATTGGTAATTGAGGTCAAATAATAGTTCTTCTCATAGATTATGCATGTGTGAACTACACATTGACACATCCAGCCCAAATACTTAGTAGTCACCAAAGTACCGTAGAATGTCTTTAAGGGTATGTTCTCGCATTCCTGGAGACCTCATTCACGGTAAACGCTGCATACTGTATGCCGGCTCAATCGGAAACAACCTTCAAATGGCACATTGTCAACAAAGCGCGATCGGATTAAATCTCAGCAATGATAAACTAATATCATTAGATGCCATATAACATGCACACATGCATGTCTCTGTTAATTAGCTTTTCTTCTATAATGGTCATGTGTTGTCACATGACAGGGGTCGGGATGCAGAGAAGCATTTAATGAAATGCTTAAAAAATTATCCCAATAACCTCCCACCCCTCGCTCACACAAACGCATAGACACGCATGCACACAACCATACAATATGCACACATACACACACACACACACGTGCATATTCCCCTGTTCACACACATAGCCTACATTATGTCCCTTTTCTCTTTATATTTAACTAACAAGCTGTAGCACTGGTAGTAACCAGAGAGCCCAGTGACTGCTAGAGAGCACAGGTAGTAACCGGAGAGCGCAGTGACTGCTAGAGAGCACTGGTAGTAACCGGAGAGCCCAGTGACTGCTAGAGAGCACTGGTAGTAACCAGAGAGACCAGTGACTGCTAGAGAGCACTGGTAGTAACCAGAGAGACCAGTGACTGCTAGAGAGCACTGGTAGTATCCAGAGAGCCCAGTGACTGCTAGAGAGCACAGGTAGTAACCGGAGAGCGCAGTGACTGCTAGAGAGCACTGGTAGTAACCGGAGAGCCCAGTGACTGCTAGAGAGCACTGGTAGTAACCAGAGAGACCAGTGACTGCTAGAGAGCACTGGTAGTAACCAGAGAGACCAGTGACTGCTAGAGAGCACTGGTAGTAACCGGAGAGACCAGTGACTGCTAGAGAGCACTGGTAGTAACCAGAGAGACCAGTGACTGCTAGAGAGCACTGGTAGTAACCAGAGAGACCAGTGACTGCTAGAGAGCACTGGTAGTAACCAGAGAGACCAGTGACTGCTAGAGAGCACTGGAATTAACCGGATAGACCAGTGACTGCTAGAGAGCACTGGTAGTAACCAGAGAGACCAGTGACTGCTAGAGAGCACTGGTAGTAACCAGAGAGACCAGTGACTGCTAGAGAGCACTGGTAGTAACCAGAGAGCCCAGTGACTGCTAGAGAGCACTGGTAGTAACCGGAGAGCCCAGTGACTGCTAGAGAGCACTGGTAGTAACCAGAGAGCCCAGTGACTGCTAGAGAGCACTGGTAGTAACCGGAGAGCCCAGTGACTGCTAGAGAGCACTGGTAGTAACCGGAGAGCCCAGTGACTGCTAGAGAGCACTGGTAGTAACCAGAGAGACCAGTGACTGCTAGAGAGCACTGGTAGTAACCAGAGAGCCCAGTGACTGCTAGAGAGCACTGGTAGTAACCAGAGAGCCCAGTGACTGCTAGAGAGCACTGGTAGTAACCGGAGAGCCCAGTGACTGCTAGAGAGCACTGGTAGTAACCGGAGAGCCCAGTGACTGCTAGAGAGCACTGGTAGTAACCAGAGAGACCAGTGACTGCTAGAGAGCACTGGTAGTAACCAGAGAGCCCAGTGACTGCTAGAGAGCACTGGTATTAACCGGAGAGACCAGTGACTGCTAGAGAGCACTGGTAGTAACCGGAGAGACCAGTGACTGCTAGAGAGCACTGCTCTCCTTGTTTCCATGGTCTGTGAGAACGTACTAATCCAGCAAGACATGTGGATATTTAAACATTATCGGGGTGAACCAAAGTTCAGCATTAAAACAGAATAAATCAATTTCTAGGCCTGGGAGAGATTAAAGAAGGATTGGGCCCACAAAGCAGTGTCCATGCACGGGACTGACAGGGACAGCAGCATGGATCAGACCTGGTGGAAATACTGTTTGAAATCCTTCAAATACTTTGAGCGTTTGCTCTAGCCTGCCTGGAATGCCAGATGGGCGGGGTTTGCGGTTTTGGGACTATTCTATAGGTCCATTAAGCCAGGCAAGCTCAATCAAGCACAGAAAAATAATTTGAAGTGATTTCAAATACACTGTCACGATCGACGACAGATGAAGCGGACCAAGGCGCAGCGTGATAAGCGTACATACTTCATTAACCGTACTACACATGAAATAAAACAACAAACCAAACGATACGTGAAGTCCTAGGTTACAACACAAACCTTTCGGAACAAGATCCCACAAATGACTAGTGAAAACAGGCTGCCTAAGTATGGTCCCCAATCAGAGACAACGAGCTACAGCTGCCTCTGATTGGGAACCACCCTGGCCAACATAGAAATAAATGATATAGAACAAAAACCACAGAAAACGAATCATAGAAAAATCCACACCCTGGCTCAACATTTAAGAGTCCCCAGAGCCAGGGCGTGACATACACTGAACACAAATATAAACGCAATATGCAACAATTTCAAAGATTTTAATGAGTTACAGTTCATGTAAGGAAATCAGTCAATTGAAATAAATTCATTACGCCCTAATCTATGGATTTCACATGACTGGGAATACAGATATGCATCTGTTGGTCACAGATACCAAAAAAAAAGGTAGGGGTGTGGATCAGAAAACCAGTCAGTATCTGGTGTGACCACCATTTGCCTCATGCAGCGCGACATGTCTCTTTAGCATTGAGTGGATCAGGCTCTTGATTGTGGCCTGTGGAATGTTGTCCCACTCCTGTTCAATGGCTGTGCGAAGTTGCTGGATATTGGTGTGAACTGGAACACACTGTCGTACACGTCGATCCAGAGCATCCCAAACATGCTCAATGGGTGACATGTCTGGTGAGTATGCAGGCCATGGAAGAACTGGGACATTTTCAGCTTCCAGGAATTGTTTACAGATCCTTGCGAAATGGGACGGTGCATTATCATGCTGAAACATGAAGTGATGGAGGTGGATGAATGGCACGACAATGGGCCTCAGGATCTCTTCATGGTATCTCTGTGCACATTGAAATTGCCATCAGTAAAATGCAATTGTGTTTGTTGTCCGTAGCTTATGCCTGCCCATACTATAACCCGACTGCCACCATAGGGCACTCTGTTCACAGCGTTGACATCAGCAAACCGCTCGCCCACACGATGCCATACACGCTGTCTGCCATCTACCTATAGTACAGTTCATACCGGGATTAATCCGTGAAGAGCACAATTCCCCAGCTTGCCAGTGGCCATCAAAGGTGAGTATTTGCCCACTGAAGTTGGCTATGACGTAGAACTGCAGTCAGGTCAAGACCCTGGTTAGGACGACGAGCACGCAGGTGAGCTTCCCTGAGACGGTTTCTGACAGTTTGTGTAAAAATTCTTCGTTTGTGCAAACCCACAGTTTCATCAGCTGTCCGGGTGGCTGGTCTCAGACGATCCCGCAGGTAAAGAAGCCGGATGTGGAGGTCCTGGGCTGGCGTGGTTACACGTGGTCTGTGGTTCTGAGGCCGGTTGGGCGTACTGCCAAATTCTCTAAAACGACGTTGGAGGCGACTTATTGTAGAGAAATTAATATTCAATTCTTTGGCAACAGCTCTGGTGAACATTCCTGCAGTCAGCATGCCAATTACACGCTCGCTCAAAACTTAAGACATCTGTGGCATTGTTTTGTGTGACAAAACTGCACATTTTGGAGTGGCCTTTTATTGTCCCCAGCACAAGGTGCACCTGCGTAACGATCATGCTGTTTAATCAGCTTCTTGACATGCTTACTAACAGGGATGTAATCAGATTTGTGCCCAATATTTGAGAGAAATAAGCATTTTTTGTGTATGGACAATTTCTGGGATCTTTGAATTCAGCTCATGAAACATGGGACCAACACTTTACATGTTGCGTTTATATTTTTGTTCAGTGTAGTATTTAAACCCAGGTCTGGCAAGGATGGAGATCACCAGAGAGTCATCAGACAGAGTTATATCTGGCTATGCTCTGGCATCACATAGTGATGGATCACTCCTTATTCACGTCAAGGGAATGTGTTATTGGTGAGCAGCCTTCTTAGTAACAAGACAAACAAAACAGATACAAACAGTGAAATGAGTGGTTGTTTTGGATTAATGTCAACAAATGATGTATCCACTTTCGTAACGTATTTGGATAGGAGATGGATGAAGATGGCGGCCCCCATGCACTTACCACAAATTGCTAGTTTTGCTAAGTTCGCCGTATTGTACATTGCTCTCTGTTACTATTTTTTGTGTGGTAATTAGCACAGTAAACATGCTCCCAATTTTAGCTTCAAGACACTTTGCATGTTGTGTTTATAGTTTTGTTCAGATAGCTAGCTGTACAGTGTACGTTACTTATTTTTTCAACTGACTGTTCAGCATTTATCCTTTTCTAGCCACTGCATCCCCCCTCTTCTTCATCCCTCTTCTTCATCCCTCTACTTCATCCCTCTTCTTCATCATCCCTCTTCTTCATCCCTCTTCTTCATCCCTCTTCTTCATGCCTCTTCTTCTTCATCCCTCTTCTTCATCCCTCTGATTCATCCCTTTTCTTCTTCATCCCTCTTCTTCTTCATCGCTCTTCTTCATGCCTCTTCTTCATCCCTCTTCTTCATGCCTCTTCTTCTTCATCCCTCTTCTTCATCCCTCTTCTTCAACCCTCTTCTTCTTCATCCCTCTTCTACTTCATCCCTCTTCTTCATCCCTCTTCTTCATCCCTCTTCTTCATCCCTCTTCTTCTTCATTTCTCTACCTCATCCCTCTTCTTCATCCCTCCTCTTCTTCATCCCTCTTCTTCTTCATCCCTCTTCTTCATCCCTCTTCTTCTCACCCCTCTTCTTCATCATTCTTCTTCTTCATCCCTCTTCTTCATCCCTCTTCTTCTTCATCCTTCTTCTTCTTCATCCCTCTTCTTCTTCATCCCTCTTATTCATCCCTCTTCTTCATCCCTCTTCTTCATCCCTCTTCTCCTTCATCCCTCTTGTTCATCCCTCTACTTCATCCCTCTTCTTCATCCCTCTTCTTCTTCATCCCTCTTCTCCTTCATCCCTCTTCTTCTTCATACCTCTTCTTTTTCATCCCTCTTCTTCATCCCTCTGCTTCATCCCTCTTCTTCTTCATCCCTCTTCTTCTTCATCCCTCTGCTTCATCCCTCTCATTCAACCCTCTTCTTCTTCATCCCTCTTCTTTATCCCTCTTCTTCTTCATCCCTCTTCTTCATCCCTCTTCTTCATCCCTCTGATTCATCCCTCTTCTTCTTCATCCCTCTTCTTCTTCATCGCTCTGCTTCATGCCTCTTCTTCATCCCTCTTCTTCATGCCTCTTCTTCTTCATCCCTCTTCTTCATCCCTCTTCTTCAACCCTCTTCTTCTTCATCCCTCTTCTACTTCATCCCTCTTCTTCATCCCTCTTCTTCTTCATCCCTCTTCTTCTTCATCCCTTTTCTTCTTCATCCCTCTTCTTCTTCATCCCTCTTCTTCATCCCTCTTCTTCTCACCCCTCTTCTTCATCATTCTTCTTCTTCATCCCTCTTCTTCATCCCTCTTCTTCTTCATCCCTCTTCTTCATCCCTTCTCTTCTTCATCCCTCTTCTTCTTCATCCCTCTTCTTCTTCATCCCTCTTCTTCATCCCTCTTCTTCTCACCCCTCTTCTTCATCATTCTTCTTCTTCATCCCTCTTCTTCATCCCTCTTCTTCTTCATCCTTCTTCTTCTTCATCCCTCTTCTTCTTCATCCCTCTTCTTCATCCCTCTTCTTCATCCCTCTTCTCCTTCATCCCTCTTCTTCTTCATCCCTCTACTTCATCCCTCTTCTTCATCCCTCTTCTTCTTCATCCCTCTTCTTCTTCATCCCTCTTCTTCTTCATCCCTCTTCTTCATCACTCTTCTTCTTCATCTCTCTTCTTCTTCATCCCTCTACTTCATCCCTCTTCTTCTTCATCCCTCTTCTTCATCCCTCTTCTTCTTCATCCCTCTTCTTCATCCCTCTTCTTCATCCCTCTTCTTCTTCATCCATCTTCTTCATCACCCTTCTTCTTCATCTCTCTTCTTCTTCATCCCTCTTCTTCATGCCTCTTCTTCATCACTCTTCTTCATGCCTATTTTTCTTCATCCCTCTTCTTCATCCCTCTTCTTTATCCCTCTTCTTCTTCATCCCTCTGCTACTTCATCCCTCTTCTTCATCCCTCTTCGTCTTCATCCCTCTTCTTCATGCCTCTTCTTCATCACTCTTCTTCATGCCTCTTTTCTTTATCCCTCTTCTTCTTCATCCCTCTTCTTCATCCCTCTACTTCATCCCCCTTCTTCATCCCTCTTCTTCATCCCTCTTCTTCTTCATCCCTCTTCTTCTTCATCCCTCTTCTTCATCCCTGTTCTTCTTCATCCCTCTCCTTTTTCATCCCTCTTCTTCATGCCTCTTCTTCATCCCTCTTCTTCATCCCTCTACTTCATCCCTCTTCTTCTTCATCCCACTTCTTCATCCGTCTTCTTCTTCATCCCTCTTCTTCATCCCTATTCTTCTTCATCCCTCTTCTTCTTCATCCCTCTTCTTCATCCCTGTTCTTCTTCATCCCTCTCCTTTTTCATCCCTCTTCTTCATGCCTCTTCTTCATCCCTCTTCTTCATCCCCCTTCTTCATCCCTGTTCTTCTTCATCCCTCTCCTTCTTCATCCCTCTTCTTCATCCCTCTTCTTCTTCATCCATCTTCTTCATCCCTCTATTTCATCCCTCTTCTTCTTCATCCCTCTTCTTCATCCCTCTTCTTCATCCCCCTTCTTCATCCCTGTTCTTCTTCATCCCTCTTCTTCATCCCTCTTCTTCATCCTTCTACTTCATCCCTCTTCTTCATCCCTCTTCTTCTTCATCCCTCTTCTTCATCCTTCTTCTTCTTCATCCCTCTTCTTCATCCCTCTTCTTCATCCCTCTTCTTCTTCATCTCTCTTCTTCTTCATCCCTCTTCTTCATGCCTCTTCTTCATCACTCTTCTTCATCCCTCTTCTTCATCCCTCTACTTCATCCCTCTTCTTCATCCCTCTTCTTCATTCCTCCCTTGAGGTGCTTGTGTTGTGGCCGTCCGCTTCGTGTCTAATGAAGAACAAGGAGAGCCTCGACCGCAGGCTCTGTCTGTGTGTGTGTGTGTGTGTGTGTGTGTGTGTCTGTGTGTGTGTGTGTGTGTGTGTGTGTGTGTGTCTGTCTGTGTGTGTGTGTTCCGATCTCATTGAGCTTGGACAGAACATAAACCCAATTTTAGCTTCAAAACACCAGAAATTTGAAAAACAAAAAAGGGTAAATTGTGCTGATTTATTGGCACGTTGAACCATGTCACGAGCTGTGGTTTACAAACTCAGTGGCTCGTGCTAAAACAATGTTCGTCATTGGGAAGGAGAAAAGTTAAAGAAGGAGTTTTGAGAATGTCAGATTATGTTCAATGAACGTTGTATCTGCAGCGATGATTCATATGGCTGTAGTTGGCATATGTCAACGAAGGTGACACTACAATTGTAGTGTCCTCTGTGGCTCAGTTGGTAGAGCATGGCGCTTGCAACGCCAGTGTAGTGGGTTCGATTCCTGGGACCACCCATATTTATAAAATGTATTCACATGTTACTTTAAGTTGCTTTGGATAAAAATGCCTGCAAAATGGCGTACATTATATTGATGATGATGTTAAATGTAATGCAATACTTGTTCAACATTGTCTTTAAATCCATGTTGGTCAGTGCTGCCCAGGATAGACCAAGGTCATTCAGTAGCCCAGCCCCTGTAGTGAAGACCCCCTTTAGCTGAAATATCACTCTCACCTGCTGTTTCAAATACTGTCTCCATCCCCAAATCATGTTAGATAAACATGGTTGTATTCACATGCCATGTTTGCATTTCTGGAGCTTATAATTTGTAGGATTTAGCCTGGCGCTCATGCAACTTTGTAATTAGAGTAAATATTTGAGGAAAGCATTCTGATGTTTGTGTGTTTGTGCGAGTGTGTGCGTCTGGTTGCGTCTGTGTTATGTATGGGATCTAGGGGTATGTTCCATTGTTTACCTTTTATCGATGCAGACAGCTATTCCTTATAAGACTGCAGTTCTACAGTGTTATTATATAAGTCTATTATGCGAGTGTAATGTTTACATGCCTGTGTTTGCATAGCTTGTAAGTCACTCATCCTAACTTCTGCTTCTGTCTACTGTCAACCAAGAACCATTCATTCTGCAATAGAAAGACCAGTGTAACAATACTTGATATCCATGTTGGTCCGTGCTGCCCAGGATAGACCAAGGTCATTCAGTAGCCCAGCCCCTGTAGTGAAGACCCCCTTTAGCTGAAATATCACTCTCAGCTGCTGTTTCTAACACTGTCTCCATCCAAATCAGGTTAGATAAACATGGCTGTATCCAAACGCCATGTTTGCATTTCTGGAGCTTATTATTTGTAGGATTTAGCCTGGCGCTCATGCAACTTTTGTATATTGTCTTTATATGCATGTTGACTTGAGTAATGTTGACTTTGTATCCATCAGTGAGCATTGGCCAAACATTGGTACATGTATCACATATCGTATAACATCATGCGGTGATGTCACCTTGACTCAAACTCACTCCCCCAGTGCACACATGTCCAGTGTCGGCGTGAGTACGAATCCATCACACCGCTTATTTTATTTTGACACATATTCTCCTCTCTTTCCTGTGCTACTCACGGTCCAAAGTTTGAGAGGAGTGGGAACTGCACCCATTCCTTTAAAGGCCCAATGCAGACGTTTTTATCTCAAAATCAAATAATCTCTGGGTAACAAGTAAAATAGATGACCAAAAGTACGTAATCATGGTCATTAATATAGAGTTGGTTCCCCCTTTGCTGCTATAAGAGCCTCCATTCTTCTGGGAAGGCTTTCCACTAGATGTTGGAACATTGCTGCGGGGACTTGCTTCCATTCAAACCCAAGAGCATTAGTGAGGTCGGTCACTGATGTTGGGCGATTAGGCCTGGCTTGCAGTCGGCATTCCAATTCATCCCAAAGGTGTTCGATGGAGTTGAGGTCAGGGCTCTGTGCTGGCTAGTCAAGCTCTTCCACACCGATCTCGACCAACCATTTCTGTATGGTCCTCGCTTTGTTATGCTGAAACAGGAAAGGGCCTTCCTCAAACTGTTGCCATAAATTTGGAAGCACAGAATCATCTAGAATGTCATTGTATGCGATATGCTCACTGGAACTAAGGGGCCTAGCCCGAACCATGAAAAACAGCCCCAGACCATTATTCCTCCTACCCCAAGCTTTACAGTTGACACTATGCATTGTGGCAGGTAGAGTTCTCCTGACATCCGCCAAACCCAGATTTGTCCGTCGGACTGCCAGATGGTGAAGCATGATTCATCACTCCAGAGAACGCGTTTCCACTGCTCCAGAGTTCAATAGTGGCGAGCTTTACACCACTCCAGCCGACACTTGGCATTGCGCATAGTGATCTTAGGCTTGTGTGTGGCTGCTCGGCCATGGAAACCCATTTCATGAAGCTCCTGATGAGCAGTTCTTGTGCTGACATTACGAACTCGGTAGTCAGTGTTGCAACCGAGGACAGATGATTTTCATGCGCCACACGCTTCAGCATTTGGCGGTCCTGTTCTGTGAGCTTGTGTGGCCTACCACTTCGCGGCTGAGCTGTTGTTGCTCCTAGACATTTCCACTTCACAATAACAGCACTTACAGTTGACCGGGGCAGCTCTAGCAGGGCAGAAATTTAACAAACTGACTTGTTGGAAAGGTGGCATCCTATGACGGTGCTATGTTGAAAGTCACTGAGCTCTTCAGTATGGGACATTCTACTGCCAATGTTTGTCTATAGAGATTGCATGGAGGTGTGCTCAATTTTATACACCTGTCAGCAACGGGTGTGGCTGAAATAGCCGAATCCACTAATTTGAACTTTGTAGTTTACCTTACTGTGATTGTTTTCAATCAAAATGGTCAAACAGAAGGAAAAATTTGCTTCTTGGCAAGATCACTTTCTCAAGCAAGAATGCGGCTAATACTGACTGGGAGTTGTCTGTTATTGGCAGAGAGGTTTGGAACTCTCTTTCTTATTGGTCTATTAACTAATTTACCGCATGGTGATGTCACCGGGCAGGCCAAACTCCATCCTACCAAAACAGGCAGATATTTCAGGCATCTTTTCAAACAGCTCTTACACTAAAAGAGCATTATCATCATTTTCACAATGTCACATTATTATTCCAACCTCATAGTGTGGAAATATATACAGTGCATTCGAAAATTATTCAGACCCCTTGACTTTTTCCACATTTTCTTACATTACAGCCTTATTCTAAAATTGATTAAATGCATTTTTCCCCTCATCTATCTACACACAATACCCCATAATGACAAAGTGAAAACAGGTTTTTAGACATTTTTGCAAATGTTTGAAAATTTTAACAGAAATACCTTATTCACATAAGCATTTAGACGCTTTGCTATGAGACTCGAAATTGAGCTCAGGTGCATCCTGTTTCCATCGATCATCCTTGAGATGTTTCTACAACTTGATTGGAGTCCACCTGTGATAAATTCAATTGATTGGACATGATTTGGAAAGGCACACAACTGTCTATATAAGGTCCCACAGTTGACAGTGCATGTCACAGCAAAAACCAAGCCATGAGGTCGAAGGAATTGTCCGTAGAACTCCGAGACAGGATTGTGTCGAGGCACAGATCTGGGGAAGGGTACCAAAAAATGTCTACAGTATTGAAGGTCCCCAAGAACACAGTGTACTCCATCATTCTTAAATGGAAGAAGTTTGCAACCACCAAGACTCTTCCTAGAGCTGGCCGCCCGGCCAAACTGAGCAATCGGGGGTAGAAGGGCCTTCATCAGGGAGGTCACCAAGAACCAGATGGTCACTCTGACAGAGCTCCAGAGTTCCTCTGTGGAGATGGGAGAACCTTCCAGAAGTTCAACCATCTCTGCAGCACTCCACCAATCAGGCCTTTATGGTAGAGTGGCCAGACGGAAGCCACTCCTCAGTAAAAGGCACATGACAGCCCGCTTGGAGTTTGCCAAAAGGCACCCAAAGGACTCTCAGACCATGAGAAACAAGATTCTCTGGTCTGATGAAACCAAGATTGAACTCTTTGGCCTGAATGCCAAGCGTCACATCTGGAGGAAACATGGCACCATCCCTACGGTGAAGCATGGTGGTGGCAGTATCATGCTTTGGGGATGTTTTTCAGCGACGGGACTGGGAGACTAGTCAGGATTTAGGGAAATATGAACAGAGCAAAGTACAGAGAGATCCTTGATGAAAACCTGCTCCAGAGCACTCAGGACCTCAGACTGGGGCGAAGGTTCACCTTCCAACTTGACAACGACTCTAAGCACACAGCCAAGACAATGCAGGAGTGGCTTCGGGACAAGTCTCTGAATGTCCTTGAGTCCGCACTTGAACCCGATCAAACATCTCTGGAGAGATCTGAAAATAGCTGACCTTGACTTAATTCCCTCATAATTCCACCACCTTTACGCGAGATGAAACGATGAATAACCTCTCGGTTCCAAGTGGAACAACATTTACTGATTCAGAAGGGTTGGGTTGGATGTGGAATACACATTTCAGTTGAATGCATTCAGTTGTACAGCTGACTAGGTATCCTCCTTTCCTTTCCATTACTTTTCTTTTTTTTAAACGAAATAACACCATCCTCCATGCACTGTTAGTTACACATTGATAAGAGTTATTGATAAGAGCTAGGTAAATGAGTAAGCCGTTTGGATAAGGGGATTGTAAATGTAAATGACAATTATTTTACCTTAGAATTTCTGGTGACAAATGTTGATGAAATGTTGGCCTCGTAACTTGGGATGAAATGTGGAGACCCAAGCTATAGGCTTCTGTAGCCATGCACAAATGACAGTATATAGCACCAAACCTACCGAGTTGATTTATGGTTTCTAGAATGTCTGGACTTTTCACTGTATTTATTTTACAATTTGTATGGTGTTAAACATTAGCCACTATCGTTAACCACCGTCAGTTTTACCCACATACAGTGAGGGAAAAAAGTATTTGATCCCCTGCTGATTTTGTTTGTTTGCCCACTGACAAAGACATGATCAGTCTATAATTTGGCAATCACAGAGGTCAGACGTTTCTTGTAGTTGGCCACCAGGTTTGCGCACATCTCAGGAGGGATTTTGTTCCACTCCTCTTTGCAGATCTTCTCCAAGTCATTAAAGGTTTCGAGGCTGACGTTTGGCAACTCGAACCTTCAGCTCCACAGATTTTCTATGGGTTTAAGGTCTGGAGACTGGCTAGGCCACTCCAGGACATTAATGTGCTTCTTCTTGAGCCACTCCTTTGTTGCCTTGGCCGTGTGTTTTGGGTCATTGTCATGCTGGAATACCCATCCACGACCAATTTTCAATGCCCTGGCTGAGGGAAGGAGGTTCTCACCCAAGATTTGACAGTACATGGCCCCGTCCATCGTCCCTTATGGTCCCAGCTGCCTTGAGATCATTGACAAGATCCTCCCGTATAGTTCTGGGCTGATTCCTCACCGTTCTCATGATCATTGCAACTCCATGAGGTGAGATCTTGCATGGAGCCCCAGGCCGAGGGAGATTGACAGTTATTTTGTGTTTCTTCCATTTGTGAATAATCGCACCAACTCTTGTCACCTTCTCACCAAGCTGCTTGGCAATGGATCTTGTAGCACATTCCAGCCTTGTGTAGGTCTACAATCTTTTCCCTGACATCCTTGGAGAGCTCTTTGGTCTTGGCCATGGTGGAGAGTTTGGAATCTGATTGATTGATTGCTTCTGTGGACAGGTGTCTTTTATACAGGTAACAAACTGAGATTAGGAGCACTCCCTTTAAGAGTGTGCTCCTAATCTCAGTTTGTTACCTGTATAAAAGACACCTGGGAGCCAGAAATCTTTCTGATTGAGAGGGGTTCAAATACTTATTTCCCTCATTAAAATGCAAATCAATTTATAACATTTTTGACATGCGTTTTTCTGGATTGTTTTGTTGTTATTCTGTCTCTCACTGTTCAAATAAACCTACCATTACAATTATAGACTGATCATTTCTTTGTCAGTGGGCAAACGTGCAAAATCAGCAGGGATCAAATACTGTTTTCCCTCACTGTATATTTATAACTGTCACTGACTTTCCTCTGTCACGTTCGTGCGTAAAGGCTCTCCAAACCTGTTTTTTAATTATTCATGAATCGTTTTCTAACCCTAAATAATATACAAGATCAGAGTGTTTTTAAATCTACCAAGTGGTGCTGAAAAGGAGACGAACATGTGTGTATTTAAATGGATTTCTTTCATTGATCCATAATATTCTGAACTGTTCTCTCCATATATTCTAGTGAGTCTGTCGAGAAAATTCTAATTAAAGGTACACCTAATTTAAAGGGATGGCTTTAGATAACAGTACTGAAAACCCTATTGAAGGAAAACTCCACGAGAAAATCTGTGGGCCAGCAAGTGGGAGTTTTTTCAGTGGTTGAAGTAAATGTATTCAGTGCCCACGAGGGAACCACGCCTGCAATGCCCATTACGCACCTGCATAAGGTAAGTCTAAATACCGCATAAGGTAAGTCTGAATACCAAATAAGGTAAGTCTGAATACCGCATAAGATAAGTCTGAGTACCGCATAAGGTAAGTCTGAATACCGCATAAGGTAAGTCTGAGTACCGCACAAGGTAAGTCTGAATACCACATAAGGTAAGTCTGAATACCACATAAGGTAAGTCTGAATAATAACTACTGAGAAGTGTGTAGGAAAAGCGTACATTTCCTAAGTCTGAATTAGGCCCTCAGTACATAACCCACATCCCTTAAAGCTGGAATCTGTAGCAGTGAAACTGCCACATCCGTTTGCGATATTACATCAACTAAGACGTTACCTCAAACAACCAAACAGTTTCTTCCCTCTGACATCATTGCACATCCTTGCACGCACAATAGAACAACAGAAGATGTACTACGATTTATTTTCGCCACGATGCCGGAATGCTAATTTACTCACATAAAAAACAATGAAAAATGCACCTGGGGAAGGAAGTGGTTTAGCCTAACTCAGATCTCAGCTTTAACAATATAGCTTTAATGCAACGTTAATATTGTGCTATATTATTGAACATATTATGTATAGAGTGACAGGCCAAGTAATATGCCTTAATGAACACTCCACGGACACTTAGGTCATACTGTCAAGCTGTTCTGTCTGTTTATCTTCCTAACTTCCTTGATGACCTTGTTGTTGTTGTTGTTGTTGTTGTTGTTGTTGTTGTTTTCTCCTTGTATTATTGATCATGCTATTTTTTGGGTGCCATGAGCCTTTGTTGTGATGCACTTTGGATTTATTATTGTCATGTATATATTTACTATTTTATTTTTACTCTATAAGTGTCCTTCGGTATCTTAAAAGGTGCAAATGAAATATATTATTATTATACACTTTAATGTACACTGTTTCATGAGCTGAAATAAAAGATCCCCGAAATGTTCCGTACGCACAAAAAGCCTATTTCTCACAAATTGTGCCACGCCTCTCCCGAGCCCATTGGGGAGTTGCAGCGATGAGACAAGATCGAAAAAGGGGGGTGAAATACAAGAAATACAACAACAACAAACAAAATCTGTGTTGCTGACATTTGGATCAAGTGATTGAGAGAGTGTGTGTGTATGTGTGTGGGGGGGGGGGGGGGGGGGGGGGGGGGGGGGTCATTCATAATGCTTTTTGGGAACTGAATGACTTGGCATTATCTCCAGCATTCACTCACCCCCACAGTGAACATAGCTGACTTGGCAAGAGCTGTCTGCCTGTCGGACGGCTGCGAGAGGAATGGAGCTCAATTGGACTTCTTCAAGGCTTATTCATGCTGTCGAGTCGGTTTGACTCAGAGCAGAGGGAAGGAGAGGAAGAAAGGGGGAATGAGAGAAGGAATGGAAGAAGAGAGGCAGAGAGTTTTGACAAAGGAAGGGTTGGGAGGGGTTGGGAAGAACTCCATGAACCAAACGTTGAATGTGAGCTGAATATAAAGAGAGTCTGGACCGATACAACAGCTGGCTAGGAGACAGAGAGAGGGGGAGGAGAGAGAGACAGACAGAGAGAGACAGACAGACAGAGACAGAGAGAGAGAGAGAGAGAGAGGGGGGGGGGGGGTAGAGAGGGGGGAGAGAAAGAGAGGGGGGGGGAGAAACAAAGAGAGAGGGTGAGAGAGAGCGGGGATAGAGAAAGGGTGACGGGAAGTGGGAGAGAGAGAGAAGCGAGAGAGAGAGAGTAGAGATAAGCTAGAGTCTATTAGATATATCGAGTCAATAGATATATATAGAGAGAATTACATCTGAATTAATCGCAGTGGGTTTTTTTGATGCGACCATCCTCCTCTCTTTAATAGATAGGTAGATCTGTAGAGCCGCTATAGCTATATAGCTAGAGCGGGTTTTTCTAGCGGTATGATTTAGTATATCGATATATCAGGAATTTTTTTATCTCTCTCCCATTAGCAGCAATGAGAGACGGCGAGGAGGAGAGAGAGGTAAACAGGCGAGACAAGAGTTCACTGTCCACTGGATTCGCTACCATGCCCATCAAACCTGCTACTGTTTTGGAGCTCTGTTTTGTAGTGTGACTCCCCTGTTCCCCTTGTTCCTTCCTGTTCCTCCTGTTTTCCCTGCTCCCTCCATCACATGCTCATCACACTGCCAAAATCCTCACACGCAAATATTGCTTCCTTTTTCTGTGTTAGGGTATGTTGTAACGAGTGATAACTCCACCAGTTCTGGTTCCATGTAATGATAGATGACTGAGCACAAAGTGAGCATTATCAAACTGTTTGTCTGCCTGTCTGTCTGCCTTTCTGTCTGCCTGTCTGTCTGTCTGTCTGCCTGTCTGCCTGCTTGCTTGTCTGCCTGTTTGCCTGTCTGCCTGTCTGCCTGTCTGTCTGTCTGTCTGTCTGTCTGTCTGTCTGTCTGTCTGTCTGTCTGTCTGTCTGTCTGTCTGTCTGTCTGTCTGTCTGTCTGTCTGTCTGTCTGTCTGTCTGTCTGTCTGTCTGTCTGTCTGTCTGTCTGTCTGTCTGTCTGTCTGTCTGTCTGTCTGTCTGTCTGTCTGTCTGTCTGTCTGTCTGTCTGCCTGTCTATCTGTCTGTGTGTGTGAGAGAGGCGAGAGTGAGAAACAGAGAAAGAACAGGGGACAGGAAAAGCATTGTTCTGCTGGCCCAGCTAGAGTTTTTTGTGTTAGTGGGGTAAGTGTATCCACACATCTAAATAGACGACAAGTATCCCGCTGCATGTAGGAGCACACAGTCCTTAACCCTAACCCCAACCCCAGCCTCTAACCCTAAGGTTGACTATTGAGATGCACCCCGGGGGGGAGGGGGTTCTCTTTAATTAAATTAATTATCTTTAATTAAAGCTGTGGGTGAATCATCATGAGGGGTATATGATGAGTTCATAAAAGGTCTGAATATCCCACATGGCAGATGTCCAGTGACTATGACAATCACTACTCGCAACATCAGGGCTCTTTATTTTCCTGGTGGGCTCACTGGGCTGGACGGGAGAAGTTGAATGGGGAGAGAGACAGCTGTTGTTCATTCTTCGTTCTGTCTGACAGACCAGTCTTAAGCTGATTTACTCTTTCCTATAAAACACAGTGTACAAGTTTGCTTACAATTTTGACAAGATAGCTGTGAATGAGATGAGATGTTAAATACAAAGACAGTCAAGAAAACAAGATCAATTCTTTTTTTTTTGAGGTTTCATATTTTATTGAATAGACCTATGACTTTACAGGGGTTGTTAAAAAATAAGTACTTAAAAAAAAATCTAAACTGCACATTCATTTTACTGTTGTTGTTTTGTCTATCTTAATTTCATTTTGTCTAGAAATGTATTGTTTTGATCTTTCTCACATTTATGATTTTATTTATGTTTGTTAACCACTTTGAACTGCATTTTGTATTTTACACATTCATTTTGGGGATGAAAAATTATCAATTCTAAAGGACTATTTTCTGTGCGATTGTTTTGGAACAATATGAAGTTCCTTTTGGGTTGGCCGCCCTTCTCCGTTTCCATGCGCTATATGGATGCATGAGAGTCAGCGAGAGAGAGGTAGAGCACTCGGTGTGACGTCATGATCTTACAACAAGATACGCCTGGAGCTTTATCACAGAGGCGAATCATTTACGGTATAAAAAGACTTACAGCCGAGAGGGCTAACTCGTTGGAGCGCACAAACAATTACAAAGCCAGCTAGATATAACTTTTGGCACCAGCGGAGCGCAGCGCACAACCCTCGAATACGCTCCTTGAGCCCTCTCTTGCCTCTCTTTATCCCGGGGTGACAATTCATTTGTGCGCTCCAAGTCAAATCAGAACTCACTCCGTTGAAATGCGAGCATCAGCGTAAAGACCTCGCACCTTCGAGAGAGGGGACAGACACATATTTATGCAAGTGTTTGACAGTGTCAGACAGCAAGCAGGGAACAGCAGAGGAGCACCTGTCTTCACGGGATGTGCTTGGAAAGCAGCTGAAACCGAGACGCATCATCGGTCTAGTCCGGGGACAGAAGCCTAAAAAAATGGGCGCTGCCAGCGTGGACCTGCTGGTCACCCTCCAGATCCTGCCCGGTTTCTTCTCCAACTGCCTGTTCCTCGCGCTCTACGACTCGGTGGTGCTGGTGAAGCGCGTGGTGTCGTTGCTGAGCTGCTCTGGCGGCGGCGGGGGAGAGTGGCAGCGCATGCTTACTTCGGCGGGGCTCCGTTCCGTATGGAACAGCTTCCTGCTGGACGCATACAAACAGGTAATGAACCATGTCATACTGTCATATAAACAGCATTCTGCTAGAGGCATATAAACAGGTAATGAACCATGTATGTTAACACTGCAGGCTACACTGTGGTTAGATTTTGTGCGTATACTGTGAGTTGTAGGAACTTGTTTTGTGGTATATCTGTGCTCAACACACCCACAGGTCTTGGGCATTGTTCCAGCAAATGAGTAATCACTCATGGACAGATTCACGGAAAGTGACAACTTTCATCTGTGTAACCTAGATTAGCAGAATAGTGTCCTCTAAATGTGTCAGTGGCATCACCTGGAAAAGTTGGTCAAAACTGCATCAGCATGAAATGATCTCAACTGTTTTAAGCTTCTCTGTTACCTCTTAACATTTCAAAAGCACTGTATAGTTTATAGAAATGCATTCATTTTGAAAGGACAGTTATATATCTGCATCACTGAATTCTTATTATCTGGCCATCTGAGACCATGTCCTCTCTTTTAAATGTTGAACGTTAATATCAAATTAAAAAATGTAGGTTATCTGATCTAAAAAGTGATGAACTTTGGTCCCCAGACAGTCAAAACCATGAGGGGCCATTCACCCTCGATTACTCAGAAATTCAGAGGTCTGGCTTCTCCTAAATGTTACATTTTAACTCCCAAACCAAACAGAGACCAGTGTGTCAGTGCCACCCAGACTCTAGGCATCAAGCCAGGTAGACAGGTACACATGTGGGCTTTTACACAGATCATCTGACACCTATAGGCATTTTGATAGGTAAGAACATGTACATGTGGATGTGAATGGCTTATAGCAGGTGAACGAAACACGTGCATGATGCTAGTCACTAAAGAATGTGGTCGGTCTAGTTTGTTGAATGGCCTGATCCTCTGTTGTGTCCTTGTCATGTTCCACCTCTATATCACGTCCTCCTCTCTATCACTTCCTCCTCTCTATCACTTCCTCTTCTCTATCACTTCCTCCTGTCTATCACTTCCTCTTCTCTATCACTTCCTCCTCTCTATCACTTCCTCCTCTCTATCACTTCCTCCTCTCTATCACTTCCTCCTCTATATCACTTCCTCCTCTCTATCACACCCCTCTCTATCACTTCCTCCTTTCTAGCACTTCCTCCTCTCTATCACTTCCTCCTCTATAACACTTCCTCCTCTATCACTTCCTCCTCTATAACACTTCCTCCTTTCTATCACTTCCTCCTCTATAACACTTCCTCTTCTCTATCACTTCCATCAGTCTATCACTTCCTCCTCTCTATCACTTCCTTCAGTCTATCACTTCCTCCTCTCTATCACTTCCTTCTCTCTATCACTTCCTTCTCTCTCTCTCTCGCTCTCTTTTTCGGTCTCTCATGCCCTGCCTCTGTCGTTCAGTCCCTGCCTCTGTCGTTCAGTCCCTGCCTCTGTCGTTCAGTCCCTGCCTCTGTCGTTCAGTCCCTGCCTCTGTCGTTCAGTCCCTGCCTCTCTCCTACTCTGGCACCACTCTAACACTTCTCTCTCTGTTTCCACCTCTCTTTGTCCTCTCCTTATCTCTCTCCTCTTCTTCCCTCTCTCTCTCCTGTCCCATGCTGTGTATATGTATCCTCCTCCTATTGAACACTAAATTGTTCTACCTTTTCCTGCACTCTCATGAGCCATGCCTGCTCAGCTTCAGGCCTGTAACGGAATACAACATTATTATAGTGTAATAAAGCTCTTACCACAACAACACTCACACTCTCTTCAACTCTTAAGCTGCTTACTCTACCTGGATGTGTACTGGCCAATTCAATACACCTAATCGGCTTACTGATGTAAAATACCTAACACGGATGTTTCCTCCAAAATGACCTGAGAAAAACAGTAGCCCTTTCCTGCAGTCAAATGACCTAGTGGCCTCATGGGTGGAATGTTTTTAATGTTTTTCATAATTTCATAATTAATAAACATACTTTTTTTTTTTAACCACTGAATATCTGGTGTTTCTATGTCAAATGGTTTTACTATATTTCAGTCTTCTGTGATGTATATAAAGTGTAATATTGAGATACAAACTCAAAATTGAATACATTTCAATGTGGCTTGCGAAAGTATTCACCCCCCTTGGCATTTTTCCTATTTTGTTGCCTTACAACCTGGAATTAAAATGGATTTTTTTGGGGGGTATGTATCATTTGATTTACACAACATGCCTACCACTTTGAAGAAGTGAAACAAACAGAAAACTTGAGCATGCATAACTATCCCCCCCCCCCCCCCCCCCCCCCCCCCCCCCAAATCTCTGGAAGACTGAAACAAGTTTCCCTCAACAATTTCCCTGTATTTAGCGCCATCCATCATTCCTTCAATTGTGACCAGTTTCTCAGTCCCTGCCGATGAAAAACAACCCCACAGCATGATGCTGCCACCACCATGCTTCACTGTGGGGATGGTGTTCTTGGGGTGATGAGAGGTGTTGGGTTTACGCCAGACATAGCATTTTCCTTGATGGCCAAAAAGCTAAATTTTTATCTCATCTGACCAGAGTACCTTCTTCCAAATGTTTGGGGAGTTTCCTACATGCCTTTTGGCGAACACCAAACGTGTTTGCTTATTTTTTCCTTCAAGCAATGGCTTTTTTCTGGCCACTCTTCCATAAAGCCCTGCTCTGTGGAGTGTACAGCTTAAAGTGGTCCTACGGACAGATACTTCAATCTCCGCTGTGGAGCTTTGCAGCTCCTTCAGGGTTATCTTTGGTCTCTTTGTTGCCTCTCTGATTAATGCCCTCCTTGCCTGGTCCGTGAGTTTTGGTGGACAGCCCTCTCTTAGCAGGTTTGTTGTTGTGCCATATTCTTTCAATTTTTAAATATTGGATTTAATGGTGCTCCGTGGGTTGTTCAAAGTTTCTGATATTTTTTTATAACCCAACCCTGATCTGTACTTCCCCACAACTTTGTCCCTGACCTGTTTGGAGAGCTCCTTGGTCTTCATGGTGCCGCTTGCTTGGTGGTGCCCCTTGCTTAGTGGTGTTGCAGACTCTGGGGCCTTTCAGAACAGGTGTATATATACTGAGATCATGTGACACTTAGATTGCACACAGGTGGACTTTATTTAACTAATTATGTGACTTCTGAAGGTAATTGGTTGCACCAGATCTTATTCAGCGGCTTCATAGCAAAGGGGGGTGAATACATATGCACACACAACTTTTCCGTTATTTATTTTTCAGAATTTTATGAGACAAGTTCTTTTTTTCATTTCACTTCACCAATTTGGACTATTTTGTGTATGTCCATTACATGAAATCCCAATAAAAATCCATTTAAATTACAGGTTGTAATGCAACAAAATAGGAAAAACGCCAAGGGGGATGAATACTTTTGCAAGGCACTGTATCTGATGGTACAGGTGTCTTCTTCTTTTTTTAAGCCCATAACCATGTGTGTGATGTGGGTGATGTGGAGACTTTTGTTTAAATGTAGATTTGTTTAAGACTACCAAGAAACTCTGTGTGACCCTGATTTATTCTGCAGTTAAATGTTAGGAATGTTTACAGTGTTCTAGGTCTAACATGGGGACTGGAGATGCAAGTTTTCACTTTTCTAATGGGGATTGAGATGGGGAGTTAAGTTTTCACTTTTCTAATGGGGATTGAGATGGGGAGTTAAGTTTTTACTTTTCTAATGGGGATTGAGATAGGGAGTTACGTTTTTACTTTTATAATGGCGATTGAGATGGGGCGGCATCATAGAGAGGCAAGCACACTCTTTCTAGCACACTCCATCCCACTTTGATAAATGACTCTTGGCTTGGTTAATGTATGGCACACACACCACACACACACACACACACACACACACACACACACACACACACACACACACACACACACAGGGCTGGGTAGGTTACTTTCTAAATGTAATCAGTAACGTAACTTTTGGATTACCCAAACTCAGTAACATAATCAGATTACTTTCAGTTACTTTTAGATTACTTTCCCCTTAAGAGGCATTAGAAGAAGACAAAAATGCATTTTACCAATTGAATGACATCTGCTGCAGGATAAATCAATGTTAGAGTTTACATAGCTGGCCATAAATGGATGCAGCATTTTACTTTATGGGTTATGTAGGGTTCTTCTAACCCATTTCTTTAAAGACTAAAGTCTATCAGATGTCCAGTCATTCCAATAAATGTAATACCCCTTGATCTTCAAGAATAGGACTTGGAAATATTGAAATATAGATTGTTTTACCTGAGCATAACCCCAAAAATGAAGGACTTATTAGCCTACTCTGTTGTTTATGATGTTGTTGTCATGGAGGACTGATTGGGCTCATTGCTTCCATTTGAGAAATAAATCCTGCTCTCATGGAATGGCATGCTTTGAGCACTACCGAAAAGTGATGTTTTCATGTGGAAAATGAATGCCATATGCTGCATTTGCTATAGGCCTATTATTTATGTTTTTTGTTGGGGACATGTAAATATAAATGATTGATATCTCTATAATTTACAGCTGTTTAAGTCTATCAAAAGTTCGCAGGTTTGAGCCTGTGTCCATTAGGCCTATGGAGAAAGAAAATGTAATCAGCATGAATTATATTGAGCAATAAAAAAAACCCCACTGGGGGTCTTCTTAAATGAAACTTGTTTTTGACAGTATGGAGCACAATACCATGGAGGAGGTTAGAAGGGAAGAACTCCCTCAAACTGTTATTCCATGGGCTGGGATCTGCACTATGCAGCTGCTATAAGAGCACATTTCTTCACATAGAGTTAGTCTCTATGGGTGGTAAAGTGCCATCTGTATAGTGAAACGTTTGGACACACCTCCTCATTCAAGGGTTTTTCATAATTGTTACTATTTTCTACATTGTAGAATAACTGTGAAAGACATCAAAACCATGAAATAACACATATGGAATCATGTAGTAACCAAAAACGTGTTAAACAAATTAAAATATATTTTATATTTAATATTCTTTTTTTGGTTACTACATAATTGCATATCTGTTGTTTCATAGTTTTGATGTCTTCGCTATTGTTCTACAATGTAGAAAATAGTAAAAATAAAGAAAAACTGTTGAATGAGTAGGTGTTCTACAACTTTTGAACGGTAGTGTATACGTTTGTGAACAGCCATCCACAACACCCACAATCCGTAAGTCACAAATAGCTAAATGAGAGAGCAGCAGTGTGATTCACATCAATGTGCTATGTAGATATCAATAATAAGTGATATCCAATTAAGGTGCCACTAACCTCCTGTGATGTGTATATAATTGTGTCTAGACGTGATTGACTGCTCAACACCAAGCTTCTCTTTTCTTTCAGAAAGACTGTAAATCTCAATATAAACAGTTGATAACCAACCTCTCTTTCTCTCTTCCTCTCCTCTCCCTCCTCTCCCTCCCCTCCTCTCCTCTCCTCTCCCTCCTCTCCCTCCTCTCCTCTCCTCTCCTCTCCTCTCCTCTCCTCTCCTCTCCTCTCCTCTCCTCTCCTCTCCTCTCCTCTCCTCTCCTCTCCTCTCCTCTCCTCTCCTCTCCTCTCCTCTCCTCTCCTCTCCTCTTCCTTCCTTCCTTCCTTCCTTCCTTCCTTCCTTCCTTCCTTCCTCCTTCCTTCCTTCCTTCCTTCCTTCCTTCCTTCCTTCCTTCCTTCCTTCCTTCCTTCCTTCCTTCCTTCCTTCCTTCCTTCCTTCCTTCCTTCCTTCCTTCCTTCCTTCCTTCCTCCTTCCTTCCTTCCTTCCTTCCTTCCTTCCTTCCTTCCTTCCTTCCTTCCTTCCTTCCTTCCTTCCTTCCTTCCTTCCTTCCTTCCTTCCTTCCTTCCTTCCTTCCTTCCTTCCTCTCCCTCCTCCCCCTCCCTCCCCCCCTCTCCCCCTCTCCCTCTCCCTCTCCCTCTCCCTCTTACCCTCTCCCTCTCCTCTCCTCTCCCTCTCCCCTCTCCTCCCTCCTCTCCTCCCTCTCTCCCTCCTCTCCCTCCCTCCGTCTCCCTCCCTCTCCCTCCCTCCTCCCCTCCCATCCTCTCCTCTCCTCTCCTCCCCTCCCTCTCCCCATGTAGGTGAAACTGGGCAGTGAGGCACCCAACTCCAAAGTGGTCAAGGTTCCCGGTAGTGGTGGTAACCATGGCTTCCGGCGGCGGAGCAGTGTGACCACCAGCACAGGCCGTCATCCTGGGGACGAGTGCCCGCCTGCTGGACTTCGAGTCGTCGGAGCGCCCCCTTGTGGTGAACTTCGGCTCAGCCACCTGACCCCCATTCATCAGCCACCTGCCCGCCTTCCGGCAGCTGGTGGAGGAGTTCTCCAACGTGGCCGACTTCCTGCTGGTCTACATCGACGAGGCGCACCCCTCGGATGGCTGGGTGGCGCCCGCCATGGGTCCATGCTCCTTCGAGGTCAGGAAGCACCGGTCGCTGGAGGAGAGGGTGGTGGCGGCCATGAAACTGACTGAGGCCTTCAGCCTACCGCCTCAGTGCCAGCTGGTGGCCGACTGCATGGACAACAATGCCAACGTGGCCTACGGCGTGTCCTACGAGAGGGTGTGCATCGTGCAGAGGAGGAAGATTGCCTACCTGGGTGGGAAGGGACCCTTCTTCTACAACCTGAAGGATGTGAGGCAGTATCTGGAACATAGCTACGGCAAGAGATAGGGGACAGACAGACAGAGTGGACGAGTTCTGTGAACAACTGAACGGCTGAAAAGATAAAACATTTATTTTCGTAGAAAAGGAGAATAAAAGGAATGCAAGGTGCTTTCAGAACTGATATGTTCTGACCACAAATGACAGGCAATGCTCGGAACAGAACATGTTACAGGTTCTAAAGTTCCCAAGTTCCACATCTCTGGAACTTCCTTTCTGGAAAGAGACCAACATTCCACAAAACTTTTCACTAGAACACAACAGAACAGAACCGATAGACTTTAAAGCATGGACGGATGCTCTGCTACCTATGGCAGTGAGTTGACTGAAAGAAGAAACTGAATAGGTTGACCGTGACACGCTTTATCAATAACTTCATCCCCATTTGCTAATCATCAATAAGTTCCTTAGTTACAGTACACATTACCTTCTAACCTGTCTCCTTTCAAAACGAAAACCAAATTACTGCACAGAGAAGAAAGCAGAAGTACCCAACTATATATATATATATATATATATATATATATATATATATATATATATATATATATATATAAACAATTATATTAATTTATTTCTATGGAGTTTTGAATGTTATGTTTGTTTTTACACCACAGTAATATTTTGTGTGTTGATGCACTTGTAACGCTTTTTATTTAAGAAGACAATCCATCATATGAGGGGTGTTACAACACTATTCATAACCATCTAGAGTAGACTGTTTTCAACCATCTAGACTCAGACACTTCCTAGTACATCCTTCATGTTACACCACCACCTAGAAAATAGGCGTTAGCACTGTGTCCATCTCCTCCATATGGTCGTTTTAACCCAACAGACAATGAGAGAGGTAGAGAAGGACAGAGGGAGGAAAGTAAAACGAAAGAGCAAAGCACAGAATGAAGAAACAGAGGCAGAGGCAGTATGTGTACTTCCTTCCTTCCTTGACATATTTTACTGTACTCAGCACCAAGGCTACGTCGCTAGCTATCTAGCTAGCTAGCTGTAATCCCAGGGTCTGTTTGCTGTTGGTGATGGTTTGTGTTAGCGATGTTGGTTAGCGATGAGGCAGGGGTGTACAGAGATGTAATGGGTTGAGGGAGATAGCCATGTCTCCAAACCTAAGTAGTCTGAGCTTCATGCTAACGTGTCTATCATTTCTC